TGTGTGTGTGTGTGTGTGCGCGTGTGTGTGTGTGTGTGTGTGTACTTGCAGCCAGAAGGAAGCTGCTGGAGAAAGCCAGACAGGCTGGTTTGGGTGGATTCAAGGAAACAATTGGAACCAAGCCTACTGTCAGGGGGATGTGGAAACTGGGAGAAGGTGAGTTTGTGTTAGCTGCACRGTCTCAAACTCCTTTTGGGATAAAAATGTGACTTAAATCAGTTAAGACAAAAAATGTTTTGATGAGAAAACGTAACTCTTTTTAACAGGTGTGAAGGAGGAGGATGACATCTCGCGGGAAGTCCGTCCCATGGAAAGCACAGCCCGTAAAGATGTGCAGGGTGTGTCAGCATTAGCGATGGACAGAGGGGATTGGGGGGTGGAAGATGAGGAAGAAGAGGATGAGGATGAGGAGGAAGAGGAGGATGGTGATGATTCACATGATCACCAAAGTTCTCAGGAGGCGGCTATGGTTGACAAGCAGACTGGTYCGTCACTAACCAGTGATTCAAAAAGCAATAATAGTTCACGTGAAAACCTAAAATTATCCTCTCTGGTCCGACAAGAGCAGGAGGGAGATCCCGATGGTGAGCTTGAGGGAAACCCCCCAGGAGAATCCTATCCTTGTCACCACTGCGAACGCCACTTCTCCAGCAGACAGGGTCTGGAGCGTCACGTGCACATCCACGGCGTYAGCGGCCAGCAAGCACAGCTCTTTAAGTGCCGATACTGCAATAAATCTTTTGGCTCACAAGTGGGACGACGGCGGCACGAGAGAAGGCACGAAACCGCGTTGAAAAAAAGGCCCAACTCCCTGGCTGGCTCCGTCAGTCTGCTCAGCCCTATGTTGCAAACAGACTCGAGTCCCGACTGCACCAGCCCAACGAGTCACTACGCTTCCATTGGGTCCCAGTTCACTCAGAGCTCTGAGACGCAGAGAAAGGAGCTGGATCGTCCTTCGGCGTTGGATGAAAACGGCGAGTCGAAGGAACTCCATCCTTGCAAGTACTGTAACAAAGCATTCGGCACGCACACCAACATGCGCCGGCACCAACGCAGAATACATGAGAGGCACTTGTTACCTAAGGGGGTTCGTAGGAAAGGCATGCTGTTACAAGAGGCACCGGCGCAGCAGCTTGGCGAGTCCCCCAGCACCAGCCCTCCGCCCGTCTACGTGCCCAGCGCAGACACGGAGGACGAAGTCGACAGGGACGATTACACCGTTGACATATCCAAGAACATCTCCGAAAACCTCAGCTTCTACATTGACGGCAAGATCGTGTCAACGAGTGCGGTGAGCAGCTGCGAGGTGATAGAAGTGGACACGAGGTCAGCAGCTTTGTTTGGTCTGGACACGGTTATCATCGGCCCAAATCAGATCAGTCAAGCACTGAAGGCGGAGGGGAGGACGAGTGCTGCGAGGCAAACCTCCGCAAGTGAGCTGCCGGCAGCAAAAAGGAGAACGTCGACGCCCCCACTCGTTACCAGCCTTAAAGTGGAGACGGATACAGTGCCATCGCCCTCTTCGTCGACCTCTTCTAACCTGTTAGTGGGGGGGTTGTTTCAGCAAGCCACAGATTCGTCGACGCTTCAGAGGGAGAAAACGGTTTATCTCTCGCCTAAGCTCAAACAGCTCCTTCAGACGCAAGACTTTCAAAAATCAGCAATAACCCTCGTAGAAAGCCACAGGCTGGCCACCCCGCTGACAATGTCGTCACTGCAAGGGGCTGCAGGGAAATTTAAGCGAAGAACAGGCTCTCCTCCTTCTTCTCCACAGCTCAGTCCTGTGTATAAACCTGAAAGCTGTAAAGCAGAAGTCGCGAGCACACACGCCCTCAAGGTGCCAAAGCTGGAAAGCCACAGTGTGCCACCTCCTGAAAGCCTGCTGGATAACGACGATGGGGAAATCCAGAATCCCGGGAACGCAGCGCACAGCCAAGCATCCTCTAGCGGCGGAGGAAGCTCCTGTAATCAGCAGCCCTTGGATCTGTCGAACACTGTCAGCAGGAGAAGTGAGGATTTGACCAAGCCACAGGGAGATTCGGCTCTGGATTTGAGCTTGCATCGAAAGCCTGCAGCCGAATCAGAATCTAAGGGAAATTCAACGCCGCAGTCTCTAATAAAAAAGAAAAAGCCCAACACCAGCATGCTTGAAAAGGTTCTGATGAATGACTACGCTGGTCTCACACTGGCAGGAGAGGAGGGCCCCTCAATGTTGGCGAACCTGAGCTATTTCCATTCTCCATCTCCAAATGTGGCATCAGACTCCGCCCACCCCTCTCCACCCTCTCTGACCCCCGTCRCTATAAATCCCTCTTCTCCAGACGCCTGCCTTGTAACGTCCCCAACACCGCCTCCCCCTGTCCTACCCACCATCTCGTCTCCACCGACTCTGCCCAGCTCTCCTCTTTCTCAGCCGTCGGACTCGCCGCCGCTGAGACCCCTTCCTGTTCTCTCTCCAAAAATGTCCCCAAAATCGCTCGATATCAAGCCCCTGTCCGATTCGAACGAACATTTCTCTGCCGAGGAAATCAAAGACGAAGACGAGAATCATATTTCTGAGCCAGAGGATTCCACAAACACCCCACCTGAGGGTCCTCCTGATCAGTCAGAAACACCTAGTCCTCCTGAGCCTGCAGTAGATCATCCTTCAGAAGAATTTTCTCTGCCTGCAGCTTGCAACAGTCCGTTAAACGGCAGCTTAAAGCAAGACACTGTTGCAGAAACGGAGACGTCTTTAAAAACAGACTTYGCTGCTCTCCCATCCCAACCAGAAATCCCATCATCTTCAAGCTCTCCTCCTCCTCCAGCATCACTTGAGTCCTCGTCATCACTCGTTTCACAGCCTCCCCCTCAGATTACAGTTAAAGAGGAGCCTCAGCACCGTGAAGAGGAGTTGCCGCTTGTAAACCACACACCCCAGGACGCCGTCGACTCTTCTCCTCCGCCCCCCGCTCCCGAAAACCCGCCCGTGAAAACCTCCGAGAGTGAAGAGTTCGACTCGATGTACTGTAAGACGTTTGTGTGCAACGTGTGCGAGAAGCCGTTCGACTCCATCAAGGAGCTCAGCGGTCACATCGCGGAGCACGCCGCGGGCTGGCCCTTTAAGTGCGAATTTTGCGTTCAGCTGTTCAGCGACGAGGCAGTTGTGCTGGCCCACCGGACGACACTCCATGGGGTGGGTCGGATCTTTGTGTGCTCCGTCTGTTCCAAAGAGTTYGCCTTCCTGTGCAACCTCCAGCAGCACCAAAAAGATCTGCATCCGAACGAGACGTGCGCACACACGACCGTAGAGAGCGGCAAACTTAGGCCGCAGAATTACACCGATCCATCCAGGGCCAAAGAGGACGTCGGTCCCGTGTCGTCAACCCCAGAAAAAACAGATGAAAGCGCTTCACACGGTGACTCCGAGAAAGCAGAAGAGGAGACCGATGTGAATGGGAGTCATGCGGAGGACCCCAACGAGGAGCTGTACACTACGATTAAGATCATGGCTTCAGAGGGAGGGAAGCCCAAAGGCCCCGACGTCCGCCTCGGCATCAATCAACACTACCCCAGTTTTAAACCGCCCCCTTTTCCTTATCACAGTCGTTCTCATACAGGCTCTGTTGCCTCTGCTACCAATTTCACTACCCATAACATCCCGCAGACTTTCAGCACCGCCATCCGCTGCACCAAATGTGGCAACAGCTTCGATAACATGCCCGAACTGCACAAGCACATACTGGCCTGCGCCAATGCCAGTGACAAAAAGCGTTACACTCCCAAGAAAAACCCCATACCCCTCAAACAAATATTGAAGAGTCCAAACGGAGTTGCTTCACCCGCGGCGGCTCCTCTGGGCCAGGGCGGTTTTCGGAGGATGGTCCAGCCAAAGAGACTCAACTTCGGTCAAGAGACCGGCAAAACGAAAATGAGCGCCCTCAGTAAGAAGAGGAACCAGCTGGTCCAAAAAGCAATTTCACAGAAAAATAAAGCTGTCACTACTGCAAAGAAAGCTGCTGTCAAAGTGGAGGGAGAGCCAGCCTCTAACGTCTGTCCCCACTGCAATCGGGAGTTTACATACACAGCGAGTCTGACWAAGCATATGGCCATCAGCTGCCCAATGAAACCCGTTGTAGCGAAAAAGGGCAAAAAAGGTCTAGCAGAGACGAAAAAGGCGTCCGTTTCTGCGGTAGATAAGAACACAAGCAGGAAGAAAGCCCCAGACGAGGAAGTAAAAACGGAGCCAGAGGCTAAACCTCTGAAAAAGACGAGAGGTCGTAGTTCCGGTGCAGCCGACCACGAACCCTCGCAGGCCGGCAAAGGAAAGACCTCCGCTGTGGCGGGTCGGCTAAAAAGGCCCGCCTCGTTCCCAGCACCAGATCCTGCGAGCAAAAAACCCAAGAAGGGCCAAGTTCAGTCTCTACCTCCCACCCCGTCGACCCCGGACACTCCCGGTGACACAGCACAACGGCCAGCCATGAGAATGCAGCGCATGGGAAAAAAGCCAGCGGCCAAGAAACCAGCAGAGGTCCGACCGCCGCAGTTGAAGAAAGAGGCGCGGTTGTCCCCCAGAAAGAGGGGGAGAGTKGGTGGTCCGGTCACCAGGAGCTTACAGATGGCTAACAGTGCTCCTTCTGCTGAGGTGAAGACTGAGGAGCAACCAGCACAGGAGCCAAAAGACTCTCAGGTAGGAGATCCTGGATCTCTATTCTAAATGTGGATAAACACTTTGCTTTGGTGCTTTTTCTTTTGAGAAACTAGACTCCAAAACCCAAAGAAATGTATAAATTCATTCCTACTTCTTTTACTTACAGCTCATAAAGCTTTGAACACTCAGCCTGTATGCACAGCCAAAGAGACAATTTGGGGACTTTTAATCTTTAATTAAAAAGATGGTAGATTTTATTCTGACAGGTTTTTCTAAATCAGCTGACCTTGCTAATAATTACATCAGCTGTTTTGTTGTTTTATCTTTTTAGCCATGTTTAATGTCATTATGATCTTTGCCAAAAAAATAACACAACTAAGATGCTGATAATGAACAGAAGTTCCTGATTAAGGGCAGCAAATCAAGGTGAAAGGTCTTTTTGATAAAAAATAAATAGACTTAGCATTATAGATATTAATTTTTTTCGAGCATGATCATTTATTTAAACAGCACTGTAGATTGTATTCTATATGTCTTGACTATTTCAAAATGATCAAACATTTAAATAGGATAAACTCCCACAGCTTAGACTGAAACTTGAAAACAAGTTTTTACTTTTGTCTGCTGATTAATTACTCTGATTATCTCATCAGCTTTGTGTTACTGTTTGACATGTTGTGTGTTAATACAGGACTTACTAATGAAGTGAGCCATGGCGATGGCCTCGTCTTCCTCCTGGGAATATAATGTTCACCTATGGGACAACTTTCTGAACTCACTGAGGCACTGAGGACGATCTTCTCCGGTGGTTTTATTCACCTAAAAACAAATTTGCCTATCTCAGCTGCCTTTCCTGGGTTTAAGGACAGAACTCTGTTTTATTTTTATTTTTTGTAATTTTTTTTTCATCACGTTTATGGACTTAAACTGAGCCTTGAATTCTGCCAGCCTTGCAAAAACATAAAAAAGAAACAGAAACTGTAGATGACAGTGTATATGTATATACATATGTCAATGCTTGACCCAAAACAGTACGTTTAGGGCTCTAGTATTTTTTGAAAAAGCTGACATATTACAAATGGCAATCATGTATCAGTTAGGGTGAGTTAAGATGATTATTTGTTTTCATTTGTTTGTTCCGTTATTTCCCCGACTGGGTTGTTTAGATTTATGATTCTCCTAATGCATGTGCTGAGTAGAGGAAAAAACTAGATGAAGCCAGTTCCCATGTGTCTCCCTGTGGGCAGTACTACAGTTTAATCTTGATTTACAAAGTATAGATGATTTCAACTCAATTTTATGTACTCACTGTCTTGTAGGATAAATCTTTTGGCTGTTTTTGTTTGGGGAAACAAACAAAAAAAAAATCAAAACAGCAGTTGTTTACTGCAACAATTGGTCCTCAGGAACACTGTATTGTGTATGTGTGTGTGGGGGTGTGTGTGTGTGTGTGTGGTTCTGGTTGAAGGTGCAGCCAGACAGCTCCTTAATCTGAATCATGTTCATTATTATTTTTTTATTTGATTTCTGTTTTTGTTTATCAGGTGTTTGTAGCTGGTGATCCCAGCTGTAAAAATGATTGGGATTATTTCCTAATCTCCTTAAAAAATCTTCTGAGAATATGGTCATTCAAACAGCCCGGTGTTCCTATAGCACTTTAAAAAAAACAACAAAAACAAACAAGAACAAGCTGCCAAAACTTTAAGCTGGATCAGTGAAGTCTGTGTAATCAAACCGTGTGTGATGGCATGTGTTCTGATCTACGGTCAGCAAATAGTCGTTTGCTCAACTTTTTCAGTTTATATGTTCACGGATTTCTAATCTGGTTGTCTTCTTTCGGTGATTTCAAACTCATGACACGTTTTATTTTTTTTTTATGCCATAATATAAAACGTTTGAAATAAAATGTATGCAAATGTTTGCAAAGTTGTTTTATTTAGATTCAAAAGCCACACTAAATGAATCTCCACGCTCCGAGGAGAAAGTTGTCTTTGTTTGAGTTTATTTTTGGTAAAGTTGAATGATGAAAATCTCCTGCCAATGAAAAGTGTATTATTATTATTTCCAGCGCTTATTTTCTTTTTTTTTCCTCCTACATTTTACCACAGGAGGAGATAAAAACACAGGTGGGGCTTGTAGCTTGTAGCATGTTATTGGAACGTAATGAGATTTAAAATTAATTTATATTACCATGAGAAAGTTTATTCTTTGCCTTTCAACATCAAGATTATGTAATTTAGGATGAACAAAGACAAAATCCCAAATGACCTCAAGTAAATACTTTTTATTTTGCTGTARTTGACGTTATAAATAAAGTTTTTCAGTTTGTGTAAAGTTGTTGCTTCTGTTGAATTTTTAGAAATAGTTGTTGGTGTAAATGAGGTTTTTTTAATGTTCATAATTTAAGATCAAACATGTTTTTACACTTTACACAACTAAACCGATTCTGACTTGACATACCTTTAAAGCACAGATTGGTTATTTATAACTACATTAATTTGAGTTTTGATTTTGGTTTAATAGGTGGTTGAATACCTTTTTTAATATTTTTTGTTGCTCAGCAAGCTCTCACTAGGAGACAGATGCTATCACCACTGCTTGTTGCTGAAAGATATATATCTATACTTAGCACAAAAACTAATGTAATTTTTGTTTATTTCTGTAACGAGGCTTCGTGGTAATAAATCTTATACCTGGCGGGCACCTGATTGGCAGCACCTGAGGGTACCAGAAGCTCAAAACAAATGGCAACGGCAAAATACACTGTTAGGCAGAGAGGATTTGGCAATTCTTTCATGTGCACAACCCACATTCTCAGCTCTGCTGGTCATCCCACAAATGCATGTTCCTTACAAACATGGCATCGTTTAAAAGGGAAATGAACAGACTTTCAAACAATACAAGATTTATTGCCAATAAACCCAAACACAACAAACCCAAATTTATTTACTTTTTATGATAAGTTTATTTTTAGGAGTGTGTGAAGGTTGACATTTGAGTCAGCAAATTACATTTTAGACTTTGTGATTTTGTCTGGGTCTGCAGCATAACAGGGAGTGAATCACTTAAAATGTGAAATCTTATTGCTGACAGATTTGATCACATGAATTATTTCGTTGAAGTAAATTTATGTAAACAAGAGTTTAACGGTTTCATTACAAAATAGACTTAACATAAATTACCACATTATACTGTATATATATATATATAGTGAAAGATAATTAGATCACTGTCTTGTGATATGTTAGTTTTAATATGAGCACTGACCACTACAAGGACAAATGAAATGTACTAATGCATAAAATTAATGGCCTAACATTCTTTGAAGGAATGCATATCACCCTCCATCTTTTTAATCAGATCATCCGATGGGATAAAGCAGAGCATTCAGCTGAATTGCAGGGAGATGCAGTTACTCAAGGGCAAAAGCTCAGGAGTTGGACATCCAGGAGTGGGAGCGTTTCCCGATAATTATGGGAAACATGTTAAAGTACATTGTTATTGTTAATATTACCTTTTAAATTTGTTTATTTTGTTGTTTAAAATTTACAATTCATGGGCCAGAAGGAAGTCACCCATGGGACGGATGTTGCCCGCGGGCCGCCAGTTGAATAACCCTGGTGATAATGCTTATATGATCAAACTTTGTGAACTGTGTTTTGCACATGCCCTCTTACGAAACTTTGTGAGCTGTGCTAGCTCTCAAGAGTGTAGCCTACTCGGCTATACCAGATTTAGCTCAGTATCTGTGAAATTGTAGCCATGTTTGTTTGCTGATGTTGATTAGTTGTGGCCATCTTGAATTGGTTGACTGTAGATCAGTGGTCCCCAACCCCGCTGCTTGAGGGCCACTATCCTGCGTTTTTTAGTTGTTTCTCTGCTTTGCATCTGCCCCCCCCCCAACAGCACCCCTACTTTTATGTTTTTTAAATAGTTGTAATTACTAACTGTTTGTTAGTCCAAAAGCCTATTACAGCCTTCAAAATAAACATTTATTTGCCAAAAAATATATRATTGCTAATATGATCTGAGGCCCCTGAAAAACGTAGTTACGGCCCTGCATCATAGAGGCAGTCTGTCTGCAGAGTGGGCTCACTCAGAGCTTCCATCTTTCTGCAGTTCAAGTTTCTCCAGCTGATGTTTTAACACACAACAGTAAAGTTTGCAATGAATGAAAGATCTGCCAAAGTAAGTGTCCGATGTTCACTGTGTAATGACGACAGTGCTAGCGTTAGCTTATCTCCATAGCTTTGCTTACAATAAGCATGGTAACAGTTAATGAAAAGTTTAGATTAAAAACAAGGTTTCGGGTTTTTTTTTTTTGTTGCAAAAAAGCAAGGGATGAGAAGGAAGAAGAGACTGAGGGTTGAGAAAGGAAGATAGAGATACCAGGAGGGCCACATGGGTGAAGAAGCCCACTGAAAGTGCAACAGGTGAAGAAGTGAGTAAAGTTGAGGAAGGTGATGTCAGCACAAGTGGTGAAGATGAGAAGATTTTAGAGGCAGTGAGAGAGAAAGAAGACAGTGCAGAGGAAACTGAAGGAGAGAAGGAAGGCCYAGTGTCAGAGAATCCAGACAATATTCCGGTTGGACCACCTGGTATGTAGTGCAAATATATTAGATGTCTCTTTAAAAAGTTTGCTTGAACGTTGGAAAGCAATACGTTTCTGTGAGCCTTGTGCATAAAGAGTAAAATATTATAGTCAACCAAATCAAAGAATTTCAAAATTTTCAGTTTGCAAAATAATGTATTTGATGGATGGTTGTAATGTTTTCTCTTGATAATTCTTGCGGCTCTTTTCTGCAAAACAAAATTTGGATTTGTAATTATTTTGCAAGCTTTACCCCAGTCTTCAATACATGAGAGCAGCTGATTCAGTTTAAAATTAACATCCTCCTCCAGTGGTCAAACACAGAAACTACAGCTGATTCAGTTAAAAATTAACATGCTCCATTTATTTTATTTTTCCTTACTAAAATGTACTTGTTCTATATCGTCTTAAGCCCAAGTTTTTATTTATTTATTTTTTTGTATTCATGTTGCACTGATCCTTGTACCTCCACAAGTGGTTGTATTTTGTTCAAGCAGTAAAAAAAATAAAATTAAAATAAATACTGCCCTCCTGTGGTCAAACACCGAAACTACAGCTGATTAAGTTTAAAAATTAGAGTCGCCCTCCTGTGGTCAAACACAGAAACTACACCTGATTCAGCTTAATATTTAACGTCGCCCTCCTGTGGTCAAACACGGAAACTACACCTGATTCGGTTTAAAATTAATGTCACCCTCTGGTGGTTACACCCAAGAACCGCAGCTGATTTCCTCTCGGGCAGCTAT